GCTTAGAAAATAAGTCTATAACAATCCAAATCACGTTATTTCCTCCATGCTCAGGTAACTATGATAAAGTCCATCATGATTTCTTCCCATGGCTTCGTTGGTTCAGCTACTTGTTGAAGGAGGCCAGGGATTTTTCCAGTTCTGTGTTTCATCATGGCACAAATTGAGCAGCTTTTCACATAGTCCTTGACATCAGGTTTCATTTTTGGCTATCAGAACTGTCTCCTGACTAAATGCAGGGTTTTTAAGAACCCAAAGTGTCCCCCAACCACAAGTCATAGCTACATTTCAGTACCATTAGTCTTAGAGTATTAGGTACATACATTTTTGTCCCTTTCCAAGCCAATCCTTTGTTCATTGTCAAATCGGTTTGAGGTTCAACAAATCAGGGATCAGTCAAAAGGGCTGCTTTCAACTCAGTTGTCAGTTTGTCTTCTATGTGTCTGGAACTGCATTTGGCTTGGCCTCAAGTGGTTACTTGGCCTGCAGGTTGGGCTTCTGATATCATAGTTTGCACTACCTCCTCCTGGCGACTCTTAAATTGAGGTTTCCTCGACAGGGGATCTTTCAGTATGTTTTCCCCCCTGGGATGTATTTCATATTAAAGTTGAATGTCTTGAAGTATTGAGCCCAGTGGACTTGTTTAGGTGATAACTTTCGAGGTGTCTTTAGAGCCTCAAGGTTCTTATGATCAGTCCACACCTCAAAAGGTTCTTTTACTCCTTCCAGGAAATGCCTCCAAGATAGTAAAGCCCATCACAGTACAAATACTTATTTTTCCCAAACTGCTCACCTACGCTCTGTGTTTGTCAACTTTTTGGACACATAAGCACAAGGCATTAGCTGGTCTTGGGAGTTCTTCTGGAGAAGAATCACCATGACAGCCACATCACTAACATCAGCTTGGACTATAAAAGATTTGGTCGGGTTCAGGTGCTGGAGGATGGGATCAGCGGGAAATAGTGTTTTAAATTTTCAAAAAAATTCTGACAGTCCATTGCCCAAGAAAGTGGTTGATTGGGTTTGGTTTGGTCAGGGAAGGCCCAGTTTTCAATAACTGTTAAAGAGAGGGTGACCTCAGCAAATGAAGGAATAAATTATCTATAGAAATTTGCAAACCCCCAAAAGCTTTGAAGTTGTTTAAGTGTTTTGGGGGGTTGCCACTCTAGCACCACTTTCACTTTTCCAGGGTCCATCTCAATCCCCTGGTTATACACTCAGTAGCCCAGGTTATCCAGTGACTCTTTAGGGAATTCTCATTTTGACAGCTTTACATATAACTGGGCAGCTAAAAGTTTTTTCAGCACTTGTCTGACCAATTTGACATGTTCTTCAATGGTTTTGCTGAATATAAGAATGTCATCTAGATAGATGAGGACACCTTTGTATAGATGTGGATGTAACACTTCATTGATGAGTTGTATAAATACTGTGGGGGGAGGGGGGAGTCCAAAAGGCATGACTCGGAATTGGAAACTACCCAGAGGGCAGTTGAAGGCATTTTCCATTCATCTCCCTCCTTTATGCAGACTCAGTAGTAAGTTTCTCTCATATCTAACTTGGTAAAGACAGGGGAGACAGGTGATTTAATAAGTCCTTCATGAAGGGGGGGTAGACGGTTTTTACGCACACCCCGTTCATGCCTCTAAAATCCACGCATAAATTTAAGCTGCCATCTTTTTTCTTTAAACAGTACTGGGGCGGCCAACCTAGATTTGGCAGGTTCAATGAAACCTCTGTCCAAATTGTTATCGATGTATTTCCTCAACTCAGTCATTTCAGCTTGTGTCCTGGAATACATCTTTAGTTTTGGCAATTTTGCCTCAGGTTCCAACTCCATGGCACTATCAGTGGCTCAATGAGGTGATAAAACATTGCATTCCTCTTCACTAAAAACCTCAGCCAAGCCCTTGTATTGTTTAGGGACTTGGAGCACACCTGGAGTAGAGTCTGAAGTGGTGGCTACTACTTCTGGTTGTAGATCCCTGTTGGGTGGCAGTTTCTCTGTGGGAGGAAGGGGGCAGTGGGCCAACCCCAGTTATGATTTTTCAGTATCCATTCTCCCACTTGATGGTAGGGGCCCATTTATCCATCCAAGCAAGTCCCAATATGACAGATTCTAACATTTTTGGAGCCACAACAAAGTGTATGAGTTCACGATGTCTGCCCATCTCTATTTTGATTAACTCTGTCATTTGGGTGGCCAGGACTCCCCCAATTAAAGTCCCATCTACTTGTTCAAACCTGATTGGCATTTCAGGTCTTTAGTCTTTATTCCTAATTGTTCAATGATGGAGAGGCCAATCAGGCATCTGGAACACTATTACGGCTTCTATCTCCCCTGCCTCCCCCGTGTCAGGCACCATCAACTTCACTTTGACTGTAAAAGGGGAGATGGCAGCACTCACCATGGGATTGTCTTCTTCATCAGCTTCTCTGGAGAGAATTTCTTGGGTTGGAAGTTCATTGCTCCCTTCTGTGTGGAGGGGACCCTTTATGGTGTGTCTAGCAAACCGGCTAGTACCAGGGGGTTTCCGTGGATTTCTTTGACCTCTGGTGGCTGTACTAGGTCTTGGTTGTGGAGTTTGCGGATCAGGTGCAGGAACCAGACAGTCAACTAATCTATGACCATCCTGGCCACATCGATAACACTTTATCATTATCTGGCCACAGCTCTCCTAGGAGGGCCTTCAGGAAGGCTTTCTTTGTGGGTTGATTTCCCTGCCCAGCCTGAGGGACATTGCATACCAATCTTTCAGAGTATTGGGTATTCCTCTAATGTTGCAGGCTTTTTAAACTTCTGGATCAATGGTGTTCTTCAAATAGTGCAAAAGTATTCTTTCAGGACTGTCCATAAGGTGGCTTGTGACCCTTCTAAAGTCCCATACAAAGTCTTGGAAGAGTCACTTGTCTTGTTTCACTTCCATTATTTTGTCCTCATTTTGTCTAATTCTATCAGGATTCTCGAACCTAAACCTAAGGAGCTCAATAAAGGCATTGACATCCTGTAGTTCTGGGGCTTGTTCATAGTGCAACTGAGCTACCCAATCAGAAGCATCCCTCTCATTCAACCCATCTGTGATTGCAGCAATCAGGTTGCAATCTGTTGCATATTGGATTCCAAACCAATCTATGTGGGGCCAGATCTGACTGAGGAAATAAGCAAAATGTTCGTGTCATCCGTCAAACATTGCTTTAAAAGCCATTTGGTCTGGTCTGGGTGGGATGGGATCACCATAGCAACTACTGGCTGAGCTGGAATGTATGGAGCCTACAGAGGAATGTAGGAACCCTGAGAGGGTACTCCAAGGGGTGGCTGTATCGGGGGTCTCTGGAAGAAGGGCCTCTGCAGGATTGCTCCAAGCGGTGGCTAAATTGGCACCTGCTGTGAGGGGGCTGTTTGTTGCATTGTTCTCCACAATGGGAAGAGTGGGGTGACTGCTTTCTGTTGCCTGCACAGATCCCTTTGTTGAGAAGGGATCACTGCTTCTCTTTGGGGCCAGGGTGCTCCTGAACCAGGTGGTGCAACGGGTGCTGGAATCCATGGCACCCACCCTTGAATAGGATAAAATACCCACCCTGGAGTAATACTCCCTGCATGAGGTAATCTCCTTTCTGGTAGTGGAGGGGTTGGCTTGGGGTTCGTAACCTACCCAATACCCATACTCTCTCTTTTTTTTATTAAGAATTTTTATTTTTAAACAAACATACACAAATGAAACATAAAACATAAAACCATTTTTCAGTTACATACAGTTTGTTGGTTGGTTACAAGTCTTTTGTGTTTCATCTCCATAGTCCTCACTTATAATTTGTATAAATTCTCATATTATCCTACCTATATATATTATCATTGTTAATCATTTATTTGACTATAACTATTATTCCATCATTTTATGCGAGATATTCAACATTTTAGATTAATTTATATTATAACATTCCTTAATTCAATTATCCTTATATAATAAAATTATCTAAAATATTTCATTTCCATATTTTTTATCTAACCATTGATAAAATAAATCCCATATCTTGTAATATTGTTTGTCTTCTTGTTCTCTAATTTCAAATGTCAATTTACTCATTTTAGCACATTCCGTTATTTTCTTAATAACTTCTTCCTGCAGTGGTATTTTCTCATTTTTTCCATTTTTAGCAAATACATTCCTAGCCACTGTTAACACATTTACAATCAAGTATTTCAATTCTCTACTGTATACTTCTGGTAAAATACCCAATAAAAATATTTCTGGCTTAAAGTCTATATGGTTTTTTTGTCATTTTTTCCAACCACATGTGGATTTTAGTTCAGTATCTTTTAGTCTCTGCACATGTCCACCATACATGGCAAAATGAACCAGGTATCTGATGACATTTCCAGCACTTTTCTGATTTATTCTTGAGCATTCTTGCTATTCTCGTCAGGGGTAAGTGCCACCTGTAAAACATCTTATACAAATTTTCTTTGTATGCTGTTGACATTGTCATTTTATAATTTTGAGACCACAATTTTTGCCATTTCTCTAAGTCAATCCCATATCCAAAATTTTCCCCCCAAGCAATCATTGTTCCTTTAACTTGCTTTTCTTCTAGCTTAACCTCTAATAAGTATCCATATAGTTTTTTAAATCACCTTTTCATCAGTACTTGTCAAAATTTTATCTAAGTCAGTCAATTTATCATAGAAACCTTCTGTTTTAAAATCTTTATCATATCTAGAATGTATTTGCACATATGAAAACCAATTCATCCTTATATCTTGTTCTTCTAGTTCTTGCATAGATTTAAGTTCACCCTTTCCATTCAATATTTTGCCATATCTAACTGTTTGCTCCATTTTGTATATTACAGGGTATGAAAAAGCTTCAATAGTTAATAGCCAGGCTGGAATTTTTAAATAGTGTTGTTTTTTAATTTTCTCCCAATTTAATAACAAAGCCTCTTGCATGTAATGTCTCCTAAAATACCCATGTGTTTTAAATCCCTTTTACCATAGGAAGGCATGCCAACCCAACAACAAATCATGTCCTTCTAGTGTCAATAATCTAGTATTTTTAGTGTTATCCATTCCTTGACCCACATCAAAGTTGTCACTTGATAATATAATTCCCAATTAGGCAGGGCAAAACCTCCTCTTATTCTAACATCTTACAATAGTTTTAGTTTTATTCTTGCCTTCTTTCCCTGTCAGATATACTTCAACACTATTTTATTCAAATCTTCAAAATAATCTTTTCCTAATCGAATTGGAATTGTCTGGAAGAAGTATAAAATTTTAGGTAATATATTCATCTTAATTGTTGATATTCTCCCTATTAATTATAGTTGTAAATTTTCCCATTTTGCCAAATCTGTCACGATCTGTTGTTTGAGTTTATAATAATTGTTCTCTTTAAGTGTACCACATCTTGCTGTCAAATGTAACCCCAAATACTTAACCTTATTTGTGACCTGGATCTTCAAAACTTCCACCAATTCTTCCTTTCATTTTGCTAACATATTCTTTGTCAAAATTTTCATTTTATCTTTATTTATTTTCAAACCTGCTACCTTTCCATATTCCTCTATCTTTTCTATCAACTTAGGTGCTGTTTCTAATGGATCCTCTAAGATAAAAACCAGGTCATCTGCAAATGTTATTTATACTCTTCCTTTTTAATTTTCATTCCTTTTATATCGTTTTCTTCTCTAATATTTCTATTTAGTATTTCTAATGTTAACAAAGAACAGAGGTGACAGCGGGCAACCTTATCTTTTCCTTTTGTTTATATTGATACAATCTGTCAATTCCCCATTTATCATTATCTTTGCTGTTTGTTTATGATATATAGGTTCTATGGCTTGAATAAATTTCTTATCAAAACCCATCTGCTTCAACTGTAATAACATAAATTGCCAATTCAAATTATCAAAAGCTTTCTTTTTTCTTTCCAAGCAAATTTTATTAATTTTACAAAATAATATACAAACAAACAAAACATAAAATATAATAACGTAAGAAATCTTTTTCTAAAAAAACCAATGCAACATCTTATTTAAGGACAGAATTATTCCAAATTATCACATTTGCATATAAACACAATTTAGTATATATATTTACCTTATCTATTCAACTTCATATCTTATCCCAGCTTCTCTTTATTACTCCCTTTCCTTCTATTTATTCGAATTATAACTCTTTACCTTTAGATTGTATACATTTTTTATATCCATCTGTCTTATACAATTTCATTGTTCTCTTCCAATACACAAACAGACAAAACATAAAACATAGAAACATAAAACATCTTTTCTGAAAGTTGCTTGATCCCGGGTTAAAACTCATCGTACAGACACAACTTCAAAAATCATGTTCCTTTTATATACCATTCCATATCTTATTACCGTTTTCCATTTTCTATATAGCTTCTTCCTTCTTTTAACTCTCTTAGTTTTATTCTACTTATCTCATCTCAGGTCAAACCATAATACTTGTCATTCTTTGTTTGTTCTCAGTTATCCATTCATCTTTTCTCTTTAAACAAAACTTCTCCTGTACACTGATTGGAGTATGACGCCTTTAACTCTTTCCCCTAACCTAATAATACTTAATATCACACATAACTTGTATTGGGATTCTGTTTAGCACATCCTAAAATTACACAAGGTATTATATAGAGAGAAAAAAGGGGAAAAAAAGAAAGAACAGCAACAACAAAAGGACAAATTTATAGATATATAATGTGACTAATACCCCTGTCAATACCATTTTAATCATACATATTAATACTCATTTATATCTTAAACATTTTATTCTAAAAACGCCTATAATAACACAATCTTATGTACCTTACAGAATCCCTTTTTTCAATTAAATTTACCCATTGTCTCTAAATGAATTTTGTTTCTTTAAATCTTGCTTCCCATCATTAAGACTTCTTATCCCTTCCTTTCTCCCTTGCTTATTCTTCTCCTTACCCTTTTTACCCCTTTGTCTCTCCACCTCCCTTTTCTTCTTCTGCTTTCCCCCTTTCTGTTGTTTTCTAACCTTCTATCCACCTTTCAACTCATTTTTATCTTTTTTGGTTGTCTTTTTAAGTCTTAAAATCCCCCTTTTCTTTTCCTCTTTCTTCTCCTCCCCAAATAAAATCACATGTTCATCAAAGATGGCTTCTTCTTTATCCCAGTCATCCTGCTGTGCAATCGATTCTCCATAAGTACGTACCGCCATTTCTAGAAATTGAAAAAGAGTGCCCAAAGTATCTTTCCATTCTTGTTCTTCCTTTTTATATTTTTGATATTCAGTTTTTGATTCATCCACAGATAATGCCATTATAAAGAGAGAAAAAATTTCCCAAAACAACCACCCAAGTGCTTTTAAGCAAAAATAATTCCCAGAAGATCCAAAGTCACCAAACAATCCAGATAAACTATTTCTTTTAGCACTTTTTCCTTTCTTCCATTTCTTTTTCTGGGGTTACTGTTGAATCACAAAGTTCCAATTAGAATATGTCTTTTTGAAGTCTTATTAATGTTCAAATAGCTCTTTGAAATTCTAGGCAGTCTCCTCCTTGTTTTCAAATTCTACTCCAATTTTTTTCCTCTCCCTTCCCACTTACAGCAAAAAAAGATTTTTCTTTAAATATTCAGAAATCCATATCCCCTTAGCATTAGCATAGTCTAGAGCATTTAGCATACCTCCAATGCGGGTTTTCCGCATAAAGTTCTATTGCTGTTCCGTTTGGAAGGAGAGTGAAAAGAAAAAAAAGTTTTCCCTTTAATATCCATTCACCGCTTGTACAATCTGGGAACAATATATCTTTAATAAGTATTAAATATCAGGATACTTTCACTGTTCCTTTGTCCCGGTCAGCAAAGATCACTTTCACTTCTTCACAGCTCCTCCTGCACTTTCTTTTTCCAGCTGAGCTCTTCTATGTGGCGGCCATTGCTGACCGCTGCTCAGCTGCCTTCGGAGAGGGAGATTTAGCCGGCTAGGGAAGAGAGATGCGATGTCTCTCATCCCTGCCAGAGCCCCCCAGGCTTCACCACCTTCTGCAAAGGTGGCTTAGCCCCGAAGCCAGATGGCTCGGGGCACTCGGGCAGTGAACACAGGCAGAAACTGCGCACAGTCGCGGATTCCTGCCTGCACCGAAGAGCTGCAGACCGGAAGTCCCATAAAGATGTATTTTTTTCTTATTATATCTACAAAATGATTTTAGGATAGATTTGGGATGATAATATGAACCGTCATAAAACAAATTAAGTAAAATATGATTCTTTCGTAAAACTTAAATGAATAAAAGTATATTCAAATGATTGATTAATAAGGATATTAATGTATTTAATATTTGATTGAAAATATGAGAGTATATACAATGTAATTGTATTTGAAGACTACGAAATGGAAGCACAAAACAATTTGTAAACCAACTGGCACACTGTATGTATATATATATGGAAGATGGCTTGATGTTTTTATGTTTTGTTTGTTTATATTTGTTTTAAAAACCAATAAAAAAATTTTTAAAAAATGAATTGATATTGTCTTCTCATCTCTCTCACTTTTTGGTACTTGTTTCAGGACCACAATCTCCTTGTCTTTATATTTCAATGTTTTCTCTTTTGCCATTTGCGTTTTAATTGCTTTCTTGGTAAATCTTATATGGACTTTTCTTGATAGCTTGTTTCTTACTGCATATCTTGTAAAAATTCAAAACACCTCGTCTATTCCATCCATCATCTTTTCTTTGATTATCTCCAATGCTTCTTCCAGGATTGCTATCATTATTTCTGCCAAATTTTCTCCCTTTTCTTCTTCTATATTTTGAAATCTGAGATAAAATTCTGATCTGTCAATCTCCCATCCCAACATTCCACTCTTGTCTTGTTCGACCACACTCAATCTGCTGTCAATATCTCCAATTTTCTTATCTTTTTGTTTGTCTTTTTCCTCAATTTTTTGAAATCTGTCCTCATATTTCATCATCATTTGGTGGATGTTCTGAATTTTTTAATCTTTTTTTTTCTGTTCTGTTCAATATTCTCTGTTCTCTTTTCAATATTCTCTTGTTCTTACTTGTATTTTTGAATTCCTTGCATAATCATCTGCAATGTCACTTCCTTTTCTTTCTCATGCTCCTTTGCCTGCTGCAACATCATCTGTATTGATAATTGTCCTCCAGATGTTGAAGAAGAGGAAGTTGGTATTGAAGAGCCAGCAGCTGTTATCTTTCTACTCATTTCCAAACAATTGATAAACTATACAAAAGCTGAGAGGTACAAGGTCTTCTGGTTCTTCTATACCTTAATCCACTTATATAAAGGCCAAATATAATCCCAAGTTGCAGTAAAAAAATAAAATAAAACTCTTCAGGTTCTTCTATACCTTAATCCATTTATATGGAAGCCAAATATAATCCCAAATAGCAATAAAAACTGTTCAGGGTCTTATACACCTTAATCCAATTAATTCTAATTAGTTAAGAAAAAATTGACAGATCAGTCACAATAAAAAATAATAATAGAATTATTCAGGTTCTTCTATACCTTAATCCAATTAAGTGGAGTGTAATGAACCAAACAGAAAAAAGGCAATATTAGTCAAATAGAAAAAACTTATAGCTAATAAAGAAAAGAAAAAAAGATAAAAAAGGAAAAAAGAAAGGAAAAAAAACAATGTAAGGGAAAGAAAAGCAAAAAAAATCTATTCCCTTAAGAAAAAGGGAAAAAAATAATAATAATAAGATAAAAATAATTCCCATCCAAAAAGCCACAGTCATGGATGTCAACTGAAAATAATTAAATGGGGGTGGCGGGGGAGTAAAGAGAAAGAAAAAAAAGACAGGCTTTCTGTCAGAAAAGGGAAAGAAAAACACTGCCACTATATAATGTCCAAGGCTCTTTTGTTAAATTCGGAACAAATTTTACAGCTCTCTTTCCAAGGTCACTACAATCTACTGTCTTTCAACTCCAAGCTTTCCTTCAACTCCAGACTCCAGTCACTGATAGTATCTCAGAGGAACACCTGTAATAACACTCTTCCATGCTCATCCCTCTATCTTATCAACAAATAGGCTCAAAGTGCTTGAAGTTAAGCACCTGCTATTGTTATTCAAATTTATCCAACGCTCAAAAGAAAGAGAGAAAAAAAACAATGTATCCAAGCCTCTGGGTGGCAGTGTTACTTATTGTCCTCTACTTTC